GGACCGCCGACCACCCGGACGGGGGGGGGGGGGGGGGGGGGGGGGGGGGGGGGGGGGGTTGGTGTTGTGTGGGTGGTTGGGGTTGCGGCGTATGTGGGGGGGTGTGTTTGTGGTGCCTTTCTGTGTGTGTGTGGTGGGGGTTTGTGTTGTGGGGGGGGGGTGGTGTGTGGGTGTGGTGGGGGGTTAGGTGGGTGTGTTTTTTTTTTCCCCGGCCGCGGAACGGCGCAGCCGGGGAAAAAAAAGGGAAGTGGGCGGTGGAGCGGGAAACGGGAGTGTTTTCCCAAAACAAAGCGGGGGGAGGGAGGGCCGACCCCGGAGGGAAAGCGCCCCATGGCCAGGGGTTACGCGAAGTTTTACCGGAAAAAGGGAACCTGGTTTTCCCGGAACCAATGGTGAAAGTTCTTTTTCTGGGCCGGGAATGTTTTTACCGTGCAGCGAGACCGCGGCGAAAATTGTGGCCTGAAATGAGTATCAGAGAATGGGTGCTGGTCACCCTGTCGAATTTGGGCGCCATGCTTTCTGGACGGGCGTCTCAGGGGCCACGACCCCTGGCCCGGCTGGCCTGACTGCCAGTCCGCGCTGTTGTTGGACGAAGCAGAGACGCTGGCAGGGTGCGCCTCGCAACCCCCGCCCCGCCTCACCCCGCCTCACCCCGCCTCTCGATACCTGGCGTTGTTCCCAATTCGAGTTCCATAAGCCCCTCGCTCGCTCTGGAGCGTGCCGTGGCGGTGCGCGGCGGGGCGTGGCGGGGCGTAGCAAGTTGGAGGCGGTACATTAGGAACAGCGACGCCCCAGCCTCCAGGATCCCGTTGAGCCTGAGCCCCGGCAGGCCGTCCGGGCCGTGTAGCGCGGCGCTGCAGCGCGACGGCACCACAGTGGGCCAGCAGACCGGTGCCTGCGGTCAAAACTCGAGACGCGTTTTGAGCTCCAGAGTCGCTGAATGGGACTCGAACCGAGCGTGTGACCCCACCAATGGATTGCTCGTTCGGAGAGCTATCCATTGGTGGGGTCGCACGTTCGGTTCGAGTCCCATTCAGCGACTCTGGAGCTCAAAACGCGTCCGGGATTTTGGCCGCCTCCACCGGTCTTCTGGCCCACTGTTCGTCGTGGCCTCGGCGCGCCCTCCGCCTCCATTCGGGCAAGTTGCGCCGTTGGTCTGACGGCGGCCTCGACGGCCTCATTGCGCCATGGCTGCTGCTCGCCCCGCACGCCGTCGCCCTGATGACGCGCGCGTTACGCCCCTAGTTGCAGTGTCGACGCGGTGCTCGTGCGAGCTTAGCTCGCGCTGAGCTTTTGAGCCATGCGCGGAGGCGGGGCGGGACGGGGCGGGGCGGGGCGGGGTGGGGCGGGGCGGGGCGCGCGTCCCCCTAGATTACGAGGGCCATACCCGCTGTCTGCACTGACGGGGCCACACTTACTCTTTGCTTAGCCCCGCAATGCGCCACCGGGCGGCCAGGCGGCGCCACCATCGTCGTCGTCGTCGTCCGCCACTGCCCGCGCCGCGCACTGATGCGTCCTGATCGGCGTGGTCCATGGCGGTAGCGTGGCGGTAGCGTGGCGGTAGCGGGGAGCTGCTAACCTCCAAATAGCTCCGCTGTAAAACCTTACGAGGTCCCGGGGATGGGGGTGGGGTGCGCGTCGCCGGGACGTCCGCCCTCGTTCCAGTGTAGCGGGCGGCCGATCAGGGCGGCGGCACGGCGGCGGCACGGCGGTGCTCCGGGATGGCGACGGCGCTCCAACATGTTTTCGAGCTGCCGGTGTCCGCGCGGAAGGATGAGAGTGGCGGCGGCCGGTGTGTCCGGATAGTTTATCGCGTTGTTGTCCTTCCTTCTCCCTCATGCTCGTCCTGTCCGGGCCCTTCTCTCCTCGGGTCTTTCTCTCTCTCCTCTTTTCCCCCTTCCCCTCTCTCTCCCCCTTTTTTTTCTTCTCTCTCTTTTTCTCCTCTCTCTCTCTCCCCCTTCTCTCCCCTTTTCTCTCTCTCGCTCTGTCGCAATTCCTCCGTTCGATCCCGTTTGTTGGGCGTGTCGCTGAGCGCCGAAATTTTCATCTATCGGGTGCGTGCCTGCAGACACAGCGTGGGTGTTTTTTTGCCCCCTTCCCTGCTCTCCCACTTTTTTTTTCCCGTCCATTTCTCTCTTTCCCTCTCCCTCTTTTTCCACGCGCTGCTTGTTATCCTACCGCGGAAAATAAGGAGGGGCCGCGATTCGGCGAACAATCGCCCGGAATTGGTTCGGAGCGGTGTCCGCTGTCCAGCGCCCCCCGCCCCGCCCCGCCCCCGCCTTGCCGGAGAGTGTCCATTACGGGGCGGCCCCACACAGCGCCCCGCCCCGCACCCCGCGCACCAAGAATGAAAGGCCGGCGACCAAGGAATGACTCTCGGCTCGCCTCATTATTGTGATTGAGAAGTGGCATGAAGGCCGTCTCTCTCGCACTCGCGGGGCGTCCCGCCTCGGTCCCGCCGCGGAGCGAGAGAGACAGCGTCGGTGTCCGGAATGAGCCTGGCGGGGTGGGGGGACGGGGAAGTTGAATCCCTGGGCGAGTGCGCGCGCCCGGATTATGTGATTCTTACTTTTGTTGTTTTTCTTCCCCCGCGGGAAGCGAGGCCCGGTGTTCGCCTCGGTGTTGGTCTCGGTGGCGATGCGCGCGGTGGCCACATCCAGGGCTGGGGGACGGGACGGGACGGACGGACGGATTGCGTCGTGAAGGGAGGGGAAAAGAGGCTCCACCTTGGGACTCTTTCTTGGCGAAGGCATGGCCACGGGACGGCGTGCCCGAGCGTGTGCGTCCGGTTTCCCGCCAGAAGGGGCCCGGAGGACTGGCCAGCCCTTGGGTAGCCCTCGGTCGGCCCTCGGCTCCCCAGTGGGATGCGCCCCCAGCCTCCGGCCCATCCGCGGGGCCATTGCACAGTGGGCCAGAAGACCGGTGGAGCGGCCGAAATTCGAGACGCGTTTTGAGCTCCAGAGTCGCTTAATGGGACACCAACCGACCGTGTGACCCCACCAATGGATTCCTCATTAGGAGAGCAATCCATTGGTGGGGTCACACGTTCGGAGCGAGTGCCTATGAGCGACACTGGAGCTCAAAACGCGTCAAGAATTTTGGCCGCTCCACCGGTCTTCTGGCCCACTGTGCGTTGGTGAGACACGGCGACGCTGCGACACTGCGAGTGGCGCCTGCTTCGGCCTGCCTAGGGCGGCCATGGCCTAGGCCAGCACAGCCAGCACAATGGCTGCTCGTTAGGGCCGCCGAACCATTTTTAACCCTTCGCCCACCCCGCCTCGCCCCGCCCCGCCGGCGTCCCGAGACCCATCGATGCCTTCGGCTCGGGGTCCACTAGTCCACTGTACGACCGACTTCCGAGGACTCTTCTCGCTCCCCAGTGTGGCTCGCACAACACAAATCCGTCTCGCGGATTCGAACCTGTGTCTTCCCTCTCCGGTTTCTCTTTATTGTTGTTTTTTTGGTCAAGGAGAAAGTTTGAGAAGTCGCGCGAAGGGCCGAAGCCGAAGGGAGGACCTGCGGGGTCAACTTTTGAGCGGGGACTCGAAGTAAACAAGACAAACAAAGGAACAATTACCTGAGTCGGCGCTAACGATCCCTACAGTGGGCGTCGCCGATTCGTCACTCGTCGGCGACGCGTCGCACAGTGGGCCAGAAGACCGTTGGAGGCGGCCAAAACCCCGGACGCGTTTTGAGCTCCATAGTCGCTGCATGGGACTCGAACCGAACGTGCGGCCCCACCGACGGATTGCTCTCAGAACGAGGCATCCATTGGTGGGGTCACACGTTCGGTTCGAGTCCCATTTAGCGACTCTGCAGCTCGAAACGCGGAGTGAAGTGGAACTGAAACTGAACGACCTCGTTCGTTGTGTGCTTCGGCAGGGCGATGCCGGTCCGTCGGGCTGCCAGTCCCAGGCGGGGCCTTCCGGCATGCAGCTGAAGCGGTCCTCGTCGCGGCCATGCAACGTGCCGGGCTGCACGCAGTGTGGGCCGTGCGCGCGCCAGCGGCCCCAGGAACACGTGAGTTGGAAGCATGTTTAGCCAAAGTCTCTTCTTGTTTGCGTTTTCGTCGCGCCCTGCCTTTTTTGTTTGCGTTTTCACCCGACGGAGCGCTGCTGCTGCAGCTGCTGTGCTCTGCGCTTGTTGACCGCGTCTGCCATCTTTTCATTTCTGTCGTTCGGGCGCTGCTGCCGCCGCAGCGGACTGCGCAGGAGGGAGGGGATCCCCCCCCCCTTCCCCCTTCCCCTCCCCCGGAGCGCCACCGCGCCTCTTTCCCGGCACCCAAGTGCGCGGCCCTGCCGGGTCCTGCGTGCCATCAAACGCCCCCAGCAGACGCAGGGATAATCAGATTTGGGGCGCACTTGCCAGCCGGGCCGGGGGGCTGCGGGGCTGCGGGGGCCCCGCCGGGGGCTCGGCAGGACGGTCCGGGGAGCAAAATGAAAGGCTGTGGTGCTTTGGCAGACAGTCGTCGTCCACGCACTCGGCGTCCGCATGGTCTGCATGCATGCCGGCCTTCGTTACCGTGGTTACGGCGCTGTGGCCCCGAGGCCGAGGACCCCGAGGACCGCGTTGACTCCGAAGGACCGCGTTGACCCCAGAGGACCGCGTTGACCCCGAGGACCGCGTCTACCTCGAGGACCTCGAGGGCCGCGTTGACCCCGAAGGACCGCGTTGACCCCGGAGGACCGCGTTGACCCCGAGGACCGCGTTGACCCCGAGGACCGCGTTGACCCCGAGGACCGCGTCGACCCCGAGGACCGCGTTGACCCCGAGGACCGCGTTGACCCCGAGGACCGCGTTGACCCCGAGGACCGCGTTGACCCCGAGGACCGCGTTGACCCCGAGGACCGCGTTGACTCCGAGGACCCCGAGGATCGCACGCGGCTCGCCAACGCGACGACGATGCGGTGGACTCGGCGCTGCATTTTAACGGCAGCACGGCTGTGGCACTCCCGCGGGATGGGATGGGATGTCTTGAAGGTTATGCTCTTTGGCGACGAGGGTCTGGGCGGCCGTGGCGTCCGGGATGGGGCCTCTGGTTTATGTGGTGGTGGCATTTCACAGCCCATCAGCCACGCACGGCGGCACGGCGACCCGGCGGCGTGGCCTCCGCCCGGGCCAGGCTCGGCAGTGGAGGCCCCTGCCGACACTTGGCACTAGCTTAATTTGGCAATCAAACTTGGCAGCCGCGCACCGCAACCGGGCTTGCCTTCCGCCCAGCGGAAAAATTTCGCTCGACAATTTTCAAGGCTGCAGACTCAAAAAAAAAACACCGTTTTTGACGAAGCCGCCGACCAACGTGGCGTTAACTGCCGTGGGAATGGACTCGAGTCACGGCGCTTTCTGTTGTCGGGTCGTGTAATCCGATTGAGTCGCGGCCCAGTCCGTCGACGCCCGCTTTCAAAGTGATCCCGTCCGCCCCCTTTAGGCCCGTCCCGCGCATCGCGCTGTCTCTCTCGCACTCAGGGGAGAGAGTGTGTGTGTGTGTGTGTGTGTGTGAGAGAGAGGAGAGGAGAGAGAGAGAGAGAGAGAGAGAGAGAGAGAGAGAGAGAGAGAGAGAGAGAGAGAGAGAGAGGCGGGTGGCGTATGCGCTGCTCCCCGGGCTGATAGCCTCGTCGAACCTCGTTTCCTTTTTGTTTCTCGTTTTAGCGCTTAATTTTTGCCGCGTTGTATCTGGCCGTCGCCAAGCGGGCCGCACCGGCCGTGCCTCTGCCGCCTTTGCCCAAATGAGTGGCCGCCGCCTTTGTGCTCCGCGTTGGCGGCCGTCCAGCGCGCTGTCCTCCCCCCTCCCCCTCACCAGGTGTGCCACGGGCCGCCGGGTGGCGCGAACTAGGGCCGAACTACTCGCGCGGAAGGAGCCCAGCCATTGACTCGCCCAAAAGCGGGCCGCCTTGCCGATTTCCGATTTCGAACCGCCGGCGGCCTTTTTGCCCCCCTGGGCGGTAGTCGGACACGGAAGTCCGGACGCGTTTCGCACCGTGCAGGAGCGATGGCGCTCCGTGAGTGCGAGGGAGAGAGAGACAGAGTGGCGACGGCGATGTGAGGGATCGCTCCCCTGACGCGCCACTGTGGTCCAGAAGACCGGTGCTCTACAAACTGAAGTGTGCACTCAGTATGCATCTACAGATGCATACTTGCAAGTACACACCTACAGATGCGTACTTAGCTGAGTACACATCTACAGATGCATACTTAGCTGAGTACACATCTACAGGATTGCATCTCCGGACTAGCTGAGTACACATCTGCAGATGCATACGGGGTTCGATGCATTGTAGGTACTCAGCCAAAGCTCTGTTGATGTGTACTCAGCTGAGTATGCATCTGTAGATGTGTACTCAGCTAGGTATGCATCTGTAGGTGTGTACTTGCAAGTACACATCTGTAGATGCATACTGAGTACACACTTCAGTTTGTAGAGTGGAGGCGGCCAAAATTCGAGATGCGTTTTGAGCTCCAGCGTCGCTAAATGGGTCTCAAAACGAACGTGTGGCCCCACCCATGGATTGCTCTCCGGACGAGGAATCCATTGGTGGGGTCACACGTGCGGTTCGAGTGCCATTTAGCGACTCTGGAGCTCAAAACGCGTCTCGAGTTTGGCCGCCTGGCCCACTGTGCGCGCCCGGCTGGCCGGCCGCAGGGAGCGCCCGCCGACGGCGGCGTAGGCCACCCGCTCGGCAGAGCGGCGCGGCGGGGCGGGGACGGTCCACCTGCCATTACCATTACCACTAAGGGCTAGACCACACATGATCGTATGCCAATTCGGGCCCGACACATGCTCGCCTGCACTGCAAAACGAGACAAGGTCGTCCTCTACCTGCCGGGCGGCCGGCAGCCTGCCAGCCCGGCAGCCCGAGAGGAGAGGCGAGACGAGCCAAACGCTCAGCGACAGGCGTGAGACACGCCGCCCCGGGTAGACGGAGTGAAACAGAGCGAGACACGGAGCGAGACGCAGCGCGCGTCCCCAATCGTTTTCTCGGCGACGCCGTGTCGTTGTATGCAGAGTCCTCAGTGGAGTCCTCCTTCCCGGCCGCCGCGCGCAAGTGGGTCGACTTTTCCTCCACGTCGCCCAGTTTCCTAGACACACACTCACCAAGACACACACACACACACACACTCACCGACACACACACACACACTCACCAACACACACACACACACACTCACCCACACACACACACACACAATGCACCGCGGGGTTCCCCCGGGAGGAAGCGGGAATCCGGGAATCCGCGGGGGTTCCTCGGGGCACTTCGTCACAGGGGCCAAGGACTCGGTCGCGTGGGCGAGGCAGTGTGTGAGTAAAGGGAGGGGGGCGCGGGCGGGGGAGGGTGTCCCGTTCAAAGGGAATGCCAGATCTGAAGGGCCCCGCGTAGCCGCGTACGGTTTGGCTGCAGTCTCAAGGTGGCGTCCACGTGGTGGCTCTCGGGGGCCGGCTGGCTGCCTGCCTGGCTGCCTGCCGCTGCAGATGGAAAACCGGGAGGGGTGGGGCCGGGGGGGGGATTCAAATTCGCGTCCTCGGCCGCCATGCAGTCGGTCTCCCCACTTATAAACGGTCCCCTCGTAATCGAGTCAGCAGACCAACTTTTTTTAATGGTATTCATTAAAAAAAATATTTGGAGCGTCTTCCGCGAATCACGCATTCCTGCCCGGGAATGAATGCGTAACGCGGAATGCTAAGACCAGACGCCTGCCGGTCTCATTCCGAGAGTCGTTTTCGTCGCTCTGTCTCTCTCGCACCCGTATGGGACGTCCCGTGAGTGCGAGAGAGACAGAGCGACGAACGCGACCCTCGCAGCGAGTCCGCTGTCGGCGTCTCGGTGTGGGGAACGTGGCCGGGCGTCATGTCGCAAGGTCCATCTTTCTTCCCTTTTTCCTCGTGCCCCTCGCGGGACGGCGCGGGACGCACAGTGGGCCAGAAGCCGGTGGAGGCGGCCAAAACTCTAGACGCGTTTTGAGCTCCAGAGTCGCTAAACAGGCCTCGAACCGAACGTGTGACCCCACGAATGGATTCCTCGTCGGGAGAGCAATCCATTGGTGGGGTCACACGTTCGGTTCGAGTCCTGCTTAGCGACTCTAGAGCTCAAAACGCGTTTAGAGTTTTGGCCGCCTCCACCGGCATCTGGCCCACTGTGGGACGGCAGTAGCAGGCAGTGTAGTGCCGGTTTCGCCGGTTAGCATTCAGCCGACGAAGCGTTCCTTCTAAATGCACCCCCTCCCCCCCGCCCGCGCGGCCAGGTGCGAACTGGGTCAGGATGGGGTCGAGAAAAATGGAGAGACTCTCCCCGGAGGCCAGTCCACCACAAGACCTCCAACTTTGCGAAGCGGCGGAGCAAAGGGCGGAGCGTGGAGGGCGAACGGAGAAAGAAGAAAACCAAAAAAAAAAGAGGAGGAAGAAGAAAAAAGATTGAATTGGCAAAGTCTGTCTTGTTGCCGCGTCGCCGCCATGCAGCGCGTGGAGGTGGCGGGCGGTGGCGGGGAGGGTCTTGTCGGGGAGGATGAACTGTTAAGGAGTTGCGCCCGGTTGCTGCCCCTCCCTGCTCCCGGCCTCCACCGCGCACTCACCTGGTCGTCGACGTGCGCGCCGCGCGCCGCTCCACTCGCTGGAGATGCCGCACAGTGGGCCAGAAGACCGGTGGAGGCGGCCAAAACTCTAGACGCGTTTTGAGCTCCAGAGTCGCTAAACAGGACTGTAACCGAACGTGTGACCCCACCAATGGATTCCTCGTTCGGAGAGCAATCCATTGGTGGGGTCACACGTTTGGTTCGAGTCCCATTTAGCGACTCTGGAGCTCAAAACGCCTCTAGAGTTTAGGCCGCCTCCACCGGTATTCTGGCCTACTGTGCGGCAAGTGCTCGCCGCGCTCGCCCCGCGTACGGGGCACTGCAAGTCCCTACCCCTTCCCTCCCGCTCTCGCGCGCTCGTTCTTACATCCGCTTAGCGCGGTCTGCACTGCCGGCGAAGAACGCCCCAAGTGCTTTGGCGGTGCCGTTAGGGGCGGGGCAGCACAGTGGGCCAG